GCTTCTAGGTTGGAGGCCATGGCTAGTGGGTTGGAGGCCATCGCTTCCAGGTTGGAGGCCATGGCTAGTGGGTTGGAGGCCATCGCTTCTAGGTTGGAGGCCATGGCTAGTGGGTTGGAGGCAATCGCTTCTAGGTTGGAGGCCATGGCTAGTGGGTTGGAGGCCATTGCTTCTAGGTTGGAGGCCATGGCTAGTGGGTTGAAGGCCATTGCTTCTCTAGGTTGGAGGCCATCGCTTCTAGGTTGGAGGCCATCGCTTCTAGGTTGGAGGCCATCGCTAGTAGGTTGGAGGCCATCGCTTCTAGGTTGGAGGCCATCGCCAGTAGGTTGGAGGCCATCGCTTCTAGGTTGGAGGCCATCGCTTCTAGGTTGGAGGCCATCGCTTCTAGGTTGGAGGCCATCGCTTCTAGGTTGGAGGCCATCGCTTCTAGGTTGGAGGCCGCTTCTAGGTTGGAGGCCACCGCTTCTAGGTTGGAGGCCATCGCTTCTAGGTTGGAGGCCATCGCTTCTAGCTTGGAGGCCATGGCTTCTAGGTTGGAGGCCATCGCTTCTAGGTTGGAGGCCATCGTTGGTATCCTAGACCACCCCCATCCAGACCTCCCACCTCGGCCACGGTGGCGACGGGGCGACATTGTGCGTGTCACCTGGAAGTGGTGGGTTGTATTGGAAGCGTTTTTGGCAGTGCCCAGGGCCCATAGTAGATCATAATAGTAATGCCCTCGTTACTAGTAGCGATGCCCTTTGCTACCAGTAGCTTCTTGCTACTGCCCATACTTTGACGTCGCAAGCAAGGCTAAGAACTGACCCAGCAGGCTACTACAGCATCGTTCCATGCTTTCCTTTGCACCCCAGACTGAGAGTGGTTTCCAAAAATCATTCTGAGGCCTAAACATTTGAGAAGACCAGCACTGCAGACGGAGTGCAGCAGCAACATACAAGCTGTTGCGAGTCATTCACTGCAACACGCAGCAGGGTTGTACAGGCCAATAATTCGATTTGGAAATGCAGACAAGTGCGAAATTGTCCGAGCGGCTCATTCAATGCAGTCGAAATACACATGGGGCGTCTCTCAAAGGACAAAGAGTGGAAGAGGGTCAAGTTTCGCTAAAGATCTAGGAACCAAATCATTAGTGCGAGCGCTTCTTCAAGGAAGCTCAGGCGGGGGGAGTTTCCTTGAAGAAGCGGCAGCTATCCTGCGTCCTAGCTACGAGCGCCCTATTGCTAGTAGCGAACTACTCCCTTAAGCAGGTGCCTAATTAATAAGTAAGGAGGCAGGGCCACAGGCTCAAAAAGAAAAATATGTCCTACGCCATTTATGGAAGAGAGTCAAAGAATGGATTCGAGAGGCGGCATGTTGGAAGTGGTGCCTCAAAAATACTCAAAACACTGAAGCATTAGCATTCCAGGATTCCTGGATAGTCTAATCTCACTTTCAAAAAGTTCTCGATGGTCGACTCCCGACACGGGTGGAACGGTCATTCCTTCCTCCAAGAGATCACTGCCCTTCGTAGGCCGGAGCCAGAGTCCTGGCCCCAGCGAGTTCGGAGAGCAATGAGACTATATTGGCGTTACTAGTGGCTTCTTGTTACTAGTAGTAAGGTGCCTTGTTACTAGTAGCTTCTAGCTACTAGTAGGGATGCCCTGCGATGCCCTTGTTACTAGCAGCTTCTAGATTCTGCTTCCCTGCCTGCAAACCTCACCAAATATCATTCTCGGAGCAAAACCCCTGGAGATTGATCACTTGTATATTGCTCCTGGGGCAAAGCAAGGTCGTTATTGCCTGTGCTGCGGCTCTGTTGAATTCAATGACTGTTGTGGCTCTCAATGGGTGATCCAACTTGTCAACAGTAATGAGGGAGTACCCCAGACAAGAACTGTGACCAAGTGCGCCTTTGCCTCAAAGCCCTGGAAAGGAGGGTGTTGGTCCCGATGCTCCACAGATGCTCAAGAGATCACATGTTGTTCTTAGAAAGAGAACAAATACAACTATTGTTTCTACTAGCTTCTTGTTACTACTAGTAAGGCACTTGTTACTAGTAGCGATGCACTTGTTCCTAGTAGCGAACATTGTTACAAGAAAACACATCGCCTTGAAACGTCACAAGTCAGATTGGATGTAGACCGCTGGGGGTGGCCAGGGGGCCATCCTCCAATCTGTCAGCCCACAGCCACGGTCAATGGCATGGAGGCAGCTTTGGGAGATTTGTCTGTTTTAGTGAGAGTCTTGGCCGCAAAGTATTCCAGAGTTTGCCAAAGTATCGAAGCACCATATCTGCAGCAAAGCAGTGACAGTTGCAAAAGTGAGGGCACAACACCACTGGTGTTTACCATTCGATCCTTGTCTTCTTGCGAATTTGATGAGTGGCCACGCCAAGGGGTGACTAAGTCCACAAAATTGCACGATGTTTGATGCTGTTGGCACATTTGTTTGGTCGCCCATTGCTTGTTTGCTTGCGTAGTAGTAAAGTGATAGCTTAGCGACGTGAGGCCTGACCTCAATACGCGCTGTGAAGGGGAAAAAAGTAGTAGTAGAGTGATAGCGGATGCTTCTGTGAGTGGCGGTTGGACAGTGATGATCATGCCTCTAAAAGCGCTTGTAGACTGTTTCAAGCTACTGTTGAAGCTGAACATTGATGAAGAGATTATTCATAGTGTCAGCAATGTGTGGATGAGATACTTCTGGCCTATGCATTAGCTATATATTTCAAGTCATACCAAGTGATGAAATCTGCAAGATTGTGGAACACCCTCCAGAAAGCCAGTGGATGCTCCACAGTGGATAGGATAGACACTCTAGCTCACACTTGTGCCAAATGCTGGCGCAACGCTAGCTTGTGCCTCAAGTCTAGAGTGTGTCAACTGGCTTTGCACCATTGGTGCTTTCCAACGCACAAAGACAGGCCGTTGGGCCTCGAGGCTGTAAGGGGAACCCGGGGAACTTCGCAAAGCAGCGACATCCGAGGCATGCTGGCTTGCTTGCCGCTTGAGGACACTGGACGCCTGTGATTGTCCTACAATTTCCAGCTATCCTTGTAAGCAAAGATGCAGTCCATAGCCGACAAACTTTGATGGAAGATGCCTTTTGCATTCTGTGTGTATATATATATATATTACATATACAATATGATGAATTCTTGGCATGACAGCTAGATCATCCTTGTTTGATCTGCCACAACAGGAGATGCCCTTGGAAAATCTGCATTCTTGACTTGTGGATCTATATGATTGGCATCATCTTCAGAATGATTTCTATATGTGGAATGCATTCTTGGCTATTCTTGGTAAGTGTCCTTAATAAGTCTTCATGCTTGGACCCTCCCATCCCGTGAGTCTGCAGGAGAGCTTGCAGATTGCCGCACCTTTGGGACGTCTTTGGCACTTCGCTGCCCTTCAACCTGGGGCTTTGGTGGGGCTGCTGCGCCTCCGAGGTGAGCGGTTAGAAGTTGGAAACCATGGCGTGCTGTTCCTGTCGCAAATGCTTCACAGCCTTGATAAAAAAGATTTAATCAAAAGTTAAAGTATGTTGAAGTGGAGTATATACTTTCCTCAAGGCCTAGTGACGGCCTAGTGATGCACTGAAATGTTCGGTAGATCAGTTCAAGTGTCATCATATTGACGCCAATGTTTGCTGATGCTGAGACAGACATAACGAGCATCCACAAAGTTTCCACAAGGGCTTCTTCCAAAGCACGGCGGGAGTCTAGGGGGAACCTACGAGGACCCCATTTGGGCGGCACCTTGTTTAGAAGAAGAAGAAGAAGAAGAAGAAGAATTCCTTTTTGACCGAGGTTTCTATGAGGTCGCACCCATGGGGCTGACGAAGTTGCTGGGCCGCGGATGCCTAAGACAGGTGGAGATGGTGGAGATCGAGGAGCCCTGACGCTTGGTGGAAGTAGCGATGCCCTTTGCTTCTAGTAGCGTCCTTGCTCCTAGTAGTAAGGCCAGGAGCCCCTAGTGGCGTCCTTGCTCCTAGTAGCGATGCCCTTTGCTCCTAAGGTCGCCAATCCTAGATGAGTTTGAAAGAGGTCTCCTGGGTTCGATGATGTCCAATCTTCAGTGGCGGTTCAGATGAGCCTTTGAGTACTGTAGGTGGAGATGGGCTTGCCTCAATGGTCTCATGAAAATGTGTCACACCGAGGCAAGGTAAGTAAAAGTCGGATGAAGAATGAACCGCGGGTGTTGCCATACTGGCGGGAGGGTACCGTGGGTTTCATCATCCCAACGGTGTCCAATGAACATCTTTATATAATAGTTTCAGTCCAAGGGCATCGCTACTAGGAGCAAAGGGCATCGCAACTAGGAGCAAGGACGCTACGAACGTAGCTCCTGGCCTTACTACTAGGAGCAAGAAGGCTACTTCGGGCGAAAGGTATCCCAAAGGTCTTGATGGAGACCGTTGAACCTAGGAGCAAGAAGCCACTAGGGGCTCCTGGCCTTACTACTAGTAACAAGAAGCTACTAGGGGCTCCTGGCATCGCTACTAGGAGCAAGGACGCTACTAGGGGCTACTTCGGGAGCAAGAAGTTGTCAATGTCGACGTCTCCAAGAACGATGTGTCGTACGACGATCGACCACGTCACCGTTCGGCCGAGGCTGCTGGTGTCCCGAGGTGCTCTCGAGCTTGCCTTCCCTGCGGCAGCTCAGGGTATCGGGTGCTCGGAAAGGGAGGCAGACTGGTGGGGTGTGTGGTATGGCAGCAATGTTTGAGGAATGGAGGTGGAATCGATTTGATTTGCAAGACCAAGTGGATTTTATTGTATGGTGAATTCTTGTGGAAGAAAACAAGAGCAAGCATCTAGAAACAATAAGAAAGAAAAGAAATGAATTGTTGGAAGGCGTTTTTCGCTAAGATGGTTTGCTCATTTTTCCCAGCACAACGCCGCTGTCGTCGATCTCCCATTATCCAAGCAAGAGCATACGGATGAGTGCGTTGTCCACTGGACATTATATAAGCTGTTTTTTTGCATAGCACAGAACATGTTATGTTCTGTGCAGACAACTAAATAGTCTTAAATATTTAATGTTTTACAGTAATTACAAATTTAGCGCGCTGCAGAAAAACGGTTGTTGTTGATGAACAGAACATGTTTTGTGCCGTAGGTGGGGTTAGTTTTTAGAGCACCAGCTACCGATCACTTAACGGCACATTTCTCCGGGCTGGGCCGAGAGATGCCGAGAGAAACGGCCTGGCTTGGTCAAAGATAGCGAAAACGTCATATGGGTCAAGGCTTGCAGCCCTTTCTCGTGCAGTGGCTTGTAGTCTCCGAGAGGAAGTATTGGCACGGATTGTTGGCAAAATGCGCCGGTGCGAGCCTTGAGTGGGCAAGTATTTCTTTGCAGCTGTCCAGTGGCAAGTGGTCGTGGAGGTAGATCTTGACACGAAACTTCATATGCATGACAACTCGACCCGACGAGGTTATTTTTCCAGATTGCGTGCGCTCGCTGGCGTCGGGTGACACTTTCTTGGGAAAGCGCAGCACCAAAGATCTAGGATTACGATCCTAGAAGAAGTGGATCTTTTGGAGGTGGAGCTTGTGGAATTTACTGTACATGTTTAGAGTTTAGAGGTCAAGCTTTCGGCTTAGGATCTTGAAGGTTTGGGGCTCAAGATACTGAACCCTGCCTTCAGGATTCCAATTTCTAAACCGGTTTTGGTGCCTCGATTATCGATTCGACAAAGGATTCCCAACGTTGCAACTGAAGCGCTGGGGGCGCAGGTTCCGGGACTGAGGCATTCGACTAAACGTGGGGTCCGGAATGTTTCAACCCAAAGGGAGACAGTACTCGTACAAGGCCACACTTTACATTATATTTGTGTGGTAGTTTCCGCTGTTCTGCCATCCCACAGCGAATGGATGTAAACCTGGACACTTCTTCTTTTTCTAGCACACCTGTTTTCCGGAAGATTTGCACACTGAAAAGCATATCTGAGAGGGAAGCTGTGGCCCAGCGTTCCAGATAGTGGAAGTTGCAGCGGCCCACCCTTGCAGAGAGTAAGAACCCCTACAGTTGCAAGCACTTGGGTTTGTTTCTTACATCCAGCACTATATGGTAATACAAGGAGTGATTGCTGTGAACGGTGTCGAGTTGTGTTGCTTGCGAAGATGTTTGCCTGCGCATCATCATCCAAACTTGATAATACGATCTCTCGCACCCTATGTCCAAGTGTCCTGGGGGAAGAACATGGAAGAACGGGTGAGGAACCCTCCTACCCAATTGTCTTAATGTCTTAATGCAACAAAGGTTTTTGGCCAGAGGTGAGTTGATGGATGTTACTTCATCCATTGATTAATATTGATTGGAACCGTAGCAACCCAGCGCTCTATCAATCCAGGAATAAGTTATACGGTATAAGTCTGTCATCGGCCAATTCAATCTGAGTGTGTCCAGTTAAGAATCAAGTCTGTAACGCTTGTAGTGGCCCTGATATGTATCTCAGCCGCTTTCGTCATGATAAGGTTTGGTTTTTGATGGACCCTGTCTCATGATGATTTTTCTTAGCTTGGGAGGCCTGCAGTGGATGTGGACTTGGCAGCAAGCAGCTTGGTTTGGCCCTGCCTCCAAACCCTAAGCCGAAGGAGACGCCACATTGTCCACGTAATTTGTACTGCAGATACAGACCAAAATACCCTGTTGAGTTTGCGTTTGGTCAGTCAAAGGCACTTCGTCTTTTTGGTGGATTCCCTTTCAAGAGCGACACAAGAGCGAAGGCTGTTGCCTGTGGATGGCTCAAGTTTCCCTAAAAAGCTAGAAACCAAATCATGAGTGCGAGCGCTTCTTCAAGGAAGCTCCCCCGCCGCCTTAAGGGCAGCGGGGGAGCTTCCTGGAAGAAGCGTGAGCTATCCTGCTTCCATATGTAGTAGCATCCTGCACCTACTAGCTACCCCTAGCTATCTACTAGTACCGAGCTTCTACTAGCTAGCAGCTACCTCTAGCTAACCTACCTCACCACTACCTCCTAGCAGCCTACCCCCCTGTCCAAGTACTACCAACGCTCAGGCAGCATCCTCGCAGTCGCGTCTCAGCTAACGATCCTAGAGTTTCGCTGCCAAGGCTTTGGTGTCTCAGCTGGAAACATCCGACTTGGCAGCTGAATAAGACTACATAAAATATGATATATACATATTATGTATATATATATATTGTCTGAATAAGACCTGCTTATATGTAAGGGTTACATAAAAATACATGTTCAGTATCTATTGGATAAGACATATCAAGATATATCAAGATTGTGTATTGTGATTGGAACTGGTGTGACGGTTGCAGCTGCCAATTTGTGATTGGTTGCCAGTGGTTTGCTCAGCTGTTAAAGCATGTTTGACCAGGTAATGTTTATCAGTCCGAGAGTTAGATGGCGGATGATGGCGGAGATTCTTTGCGATAAATTGGTCAAAACTGGTCAATTTGGTTGTTGGAGGCATGCCCAGGGTTCCTCGGTTCCTTGATGTTCTTGTTTTTTCCTCGGGGTGGTCCAGGGTGATCGACTCCAGAGCTACCGCTCGGTTGATCAAATTGGCCGAGGCTCGTGGCCTTCTGTATCGGTTTGGCCAAGAACACCAGCCTTAAGAAGACTGTCGGTGCCTGTGGCTGAGTGGATCTGGGGGCGGATTCCCACACAGATTTATTTGGTGGATGGTTTTCCTTGGAAGGTCTTTTGGTGATCAACTCAAAGAAATTCAGAAGTAATTCTAGAAAAGAAAAAGGAAAGAAAGAAACAAGTAGCGATGGCCTCCAACCTAATGCGAAAGAAAGAAACAAACAATATATGTGGATCAAGCCTTGGGTCCCAGGTTTTGAAGCCCGGAAGTTTAGTGGCCGGGTGCTGGAGGACGGTGTGTCGAGTTCATCACACCTGAGGGAACGAAAAGGTATATAACCAAATCGACAGCTGCATAAATGCTTTTGTCCTACTAGCTTCTTGTTCCTAGTAGTGTTACTAGTAGCATTCTGCCTCCTAGTAGTAAGGCCAGGAGCCCCTAGTAGCATCCTGTAGCATCCTTGTTCATTCAAGATTTGAATTGAGGTCAGAGAGATGCCACTCTCCATTTGGGACTTGCCCAACCTCTTCGCCGCTCATGACTTGGAGACATTGGAACTGCAGGCGTGTGATGAGTGGAAGATGGACAAAGACGGGTTTGTGGATGTTTGTTGTTAAAATGTGATGAGTCGGCAAAGACTTCAAAGTGCGAACATTCCAGAGTCCTATACAGGTGTGCACTGCTCAGTATGGTAGAAATCGCAGAGAATGTGCACCACAGGTACATCAATATATATATATATATCAACTCTTCAGCTGGTCTTTTGGAAGTGCCAACTTGACACTGCACATGATGTACTTGTTGACTTTATGGTTTGTGGTGCCTCAACACAAGGACCCTAGAACCCTCTAGAAACCTTGACTCGATGTTCAACCGATGCCTTGGCAAGTCGAGATTTAAGATGTCAAATTTAGGGATGGAGAAGAGAGAGAGGGCGTTCAAACCAGCTGGTGTGGGTTCTACATTGGCAGAAACCAGCAGAAACCCACAACAAGTGACAAACCATGGATCCCAACAAGTGCACAGATTGGTCGCCTAGATTCAACTGTTCCTCCCTTTCTTAAGATGGTGTTGACTACTTTCGCCAAACTGTTGAAAGATCACCTTCAGCAGTATCTTGAGTTCGAGGTAATCCAACATGTTGAAATGTTTCGTAACATGAAAGGTCACACGCATGCAGGATCTTGGATCCTTTTCATGATGCGTTCCTTGATGATCAGGTCATAAGGCCAAAGGATCTCCAATGTCACGTGCACGGGTTTGTAGACCTCATCACCAAAAAGCACCCTCCTCAAACATTCGGATTCAAGCAACTACCCCAGTGGACCATCGTGTCGGAGGCCTGTCCGCTCACCGAATCGCAGATGGGCATTGCTGGGCGCTCAGATGACAGGTCCACACGAGTCATCCTGGAATTTGAGAGCCACTCCAAGATGCTTTGGAGTGAGGGACTTGCGGTTTCCAGGCTGTTTGGACTAACAAAAGATGAATGTGTGAGATTAAATGTTCTGTCCTGGGTCGGTGCCTAACTTGCCTGTTTTGATTGCCTACATAGGAAGGCTTGGGAGCATTTGGGTCCTTATCACCTCCCATTATTGCAAACTTGTTCATGAATCAGATTGAATTCGTGAGAAGAGGGTCGATGCCGTAAGTTGCCGCAACAGGCACAGCATAGTGATGAACTCGGCTCGACGCATCGTTTGTATCAAAAGTCTCTTTCGCCCGCACAGATTCCGGACAGGTGCATTCTGGCGCGAATGTGAAGCCTGAAGTGGTTATTTTAGTCGGTTGTGGCGGGAAGATGGCTGCTAAGAAGCACGGAGGGGTGAGATGATGGTGAGACGGGTCGGAGTGGTACAGACTGTGAAGAGGGTACATATTCTTTCCCAGACAACCGCGTAAACAACAAAAATTTCCGAGAATGCATTTGCCAAAAAAGCATGTGTTTTTTCCGGTTTTCCTATCTAAATCTGTGTGTTTTTTTTGTGTGAGAGTCCTAAGTCTGTATTTGAAGCCTTCTGGCATGTTTGACATGGGTTTTCTTTTTTGAGTAGGGGGTTAGGCCGAGAAGAGGTAGGCTAGGTAGGTAGAGGTACCCAGTAGAAGCGAACGGTAGCTAGTAGCTCAAGTAGCTACTTCCGACAGGACGCAGGATAGCTCACGCACTATTCATTTAGGTTCCTACTAGGTACTAGCCTTAAGTTGACTCAGCTTGTGTAAAGTCGACTCGGAACCGTGTGCCCTTGCAGAACTGCACTTCACAGGGATGCCTAAGCATAGATTGTATGGATCTATAACACATGTTTTTGTGTTGTGCCCATGGTGTGCCTGATTATCACTCGTTTGTATTTATGAGGCAGCTTCCACAGGGGTGAAGCAAGGATCTTCGGGCCCAGCTGGACTTCTGCCGATGCTGCTGGCTTGCTGATGCTGTTGTTGTTGCTGTGCTGGCTGGTGGCTCATTTGCTGTTGCTTCCGCTGCCGCTGCCGCTGTTGCTGCTGCTGCTGGGGCGACTACAGGAGTCAAGCTCGCGCGAACCTCGCGCTACGTCGCGCGGAGGCCTACATGTCACTTGTGTGTGCGCACGCAATCTGTTCTCTAAGCTGCGCATTGGTGTGAATGGCGCTGTGCCAATGAGATTCGGGCTTGAAACATCTAGAAAGCAAGGCAAAAATGCAAGCCATAACACAGTGTGTGCACACGTTTTCTTGAGCATGTCGCTTTCGTGCCATGTTCATTTTTCAAGTGTGCCCAGTGTGCTTTGACCAAAATGAGCCGACTTCACGCGAGTGGGTTGACCTTCTCGCTGAAACACTGTGCCCATGCAGTGAGTCGACTTCACGCGACGTGGGTTGACTTAAGTACGCCGCTTGTAGATATTCAGGGAGACCCAAGTTGGGGGCGATGCCTTTTTACGAACTTTTGCTGCCCGTATCAGTGTTTGTATGTAGTCTATTGTGTCTGTGTAACGTAGGCCATGTTTTCAATCCTAGGCCTTGACAGTGCTGCTGTCCTTGGGCCTCACACGGCTTTGCTACCTACGTGTCGACAGCCCCACAGATGCCAAGCTGAAGGCACGGAAAAACTTCTTGGACCACGAGGGTTGAGGCAGGCATAAAATGCAAGGGTCATGACAGCTTCAGCCGTGCAGAATTCCAGCTCAAGACTAGAAAAGATAGGGAAAATAGAAATAACATTGTGTGTGTTCTTTTTGGTTGCTTTCGTCTTTCCTCCTGGTCTTATTCGATTCCGCCAGGTTCGGTTCGGAGACTTGAAGTGTCAATTGTTTGTTTGGACCTCACCGAAAGTGAAAAGTTTAAAAGGGTATCTTTGGGTATCCTTGGGTATGGGAACAGCATGGAACAGCCTATCCCCTGTGGCTTGAAAATTTGTGACTCTTGTGAATCTCCTCCTGTGACTCAACCGGTTTCTCAGGAGGAGCTCACAAAGGCCTGCCGTCCGAACATCGGCGGCATTGACGAGGAGGTTGATGCAGGGAAACCCGGATTCGGTCCAAGAGGTCCGAGGGGCAAGGACGCTAGGCTCGGAGGCCATCACAAGTAGGTTGGAGGCCATCCCTAGGAACAAGAAACTACTATATAGGAGCTAGAAGCTATGAGGTTGGAGGCCGCCGGATCATCTTCATTTTTCAGCAGATCATTCCAAGGCAATTTGTTCGTCTGAGAAATGCTTTGTTTGATCAGTCTGATCCTCACTGGTCTTGATGGTCGACTTGGAGGGACCCAAAAAGCTGTGTGCAGGCCATGTGTTCACAGAACCTCACAACTATCAGGTGGCTGCAGTTCTGCAAGCCCAGGTGGGGAACGATCATGGCTCAGTGGTCATGGAAATGCGGGGATCGAAGTGGGCACCATCAGTTGATTAGCTTGCCATCCCAAACCCTTGTGCGTGAGCTGTTGAGTTGGTTCATCCTTCTTGAAGCTTTCCACCCAGGAGAATTCGACCGCACTGCCACCAGGGGCAGCAATCCCGTCTTGCTGCATGCTCAAATCATCATCAACAATCCTCCATCAAGCCAGCGCAGTCCATGTTCGGGCGAACATTGCAATGATCACAGACTTCTTTGTGTAAGCCACCCCCAGACTCAGACAATCAGACAAGCCTTGCAAGCTGTTTGTTCTGAAGTGTTTGAAAAGGCTTGAGGTGTGCCCGGTATGCCACAGCTTTCTTGACATTGCCAAGATCTCCCCACTACTGCAAAACAGGCCGAACGAGAGCTCCGAGCTGAGCTACAGCGCGTGTTGCGGCTCCCAGTGGTTTGAGACGTTTGAAGATGAACCAACTGAAGGGCCTAGAAACTGGAACCAGAGTGTACTGTTGCTCTCCTTTCACACGATTTAGCATGATTTAGCATCTGTTACTAGTTTCTACGCTCTCCCACACATCCCATGTCATGGCTTTGGTGATGTCACGTCTCCCTAAAGACGGTTCAAGTTCCAAGATGTAACTAGTTGATAGTTGATCCCATAATAATAACAATAACATACAATAACAATAATGATAATAATAAAAGATCGATCAATCTATGTCTTTTCGTGTTTGTCAGCTCCCGGTGTTTTGTAGCTCAGACTCCCCTTGTTGCGAAGCAACTCCGCCGGTGGTTTTGATAGACTAAGTCAAAGTCAGTCCTGGGTCCTGGGATGTTCTGGGCAGGGTTGTGCAATTTGTTTGGCCCCCAATTGACTGTGCGATGATTACTATATCAATTGCGTTCAAATTTTCCCTAGTAGAAATGATAACGTGTCGTTTTTCATGGGCAACATTGTAGATATTTTTTCCGAAGCGGGCCCCCAGCAGACTACGTTGATTCCGCAAGGCGGCGATAGGTTGGCCAGGTTGGCGCTAGCTTCTCTATGATTGATATAACCACGATTTGTTGGTAGGTGTGTTTGTGTGTTGCCAAAGGATTTTGCTTCTCCTCCTTGTCCTCCTCTCTCCCCTCACACCCTCGCTCCTTCCCTCACTGCCTCAGTGCTACTTGACGACGGTGCACTTAGTAGTCAGCGGTACACGGCTCATCTAATATTGAGTCATGTTGACAAACAGTGATTCTTCATGTTTGCTGAAGTTCTGGGTCCAACGGCGAGGTTGATTCGAAATGCTGTCGTAGCCCACTAGCAGCAAGAGTCAAGCAACTGCGATAATCCAGTAGCGGCAGCACCAGCAGCAGCGCCAGCCTCCACGCTAGCTACGTGTTGCAGTTCTTTAAGTGCTTGACTGCTTGGCCTTGTTTATGTAAAATACATGTGTTTAATCTATAGTTTAAACATATCGGAGATTTAGAAGCGGGCCCATCAGGCTTGCAAAATCAACACTTTTTGGAAAAGGAGTTTTGACAGCCAGCCTCATATATGTACAGTATGCAGGAATGGTGATGGATTGTGTAATATTGTGTATAAATTATATATATATATATGAATTGGCCTTTGTTATTTGTGCATGGGCGCCCCGTAAATACATTTGCAATCAAGTGCATGAAGAGCAGGTGCTATACTCAATACAGTACCAGCGCTCAGTTCTCCACAGTGTCTCAACCCTTCCTCCCTGAAGCCTGGAATGGCCACTACGGAAATCCCATTCAACCATTCCTAATTGTTGTATTTTCTCCAAGATACAGGCGGGGAGGAGGGGCGTAAGGGCTCATCGAACCGTTACAGTAGTTCATCATGACCTTGTGACGAATCGTGTTGCACCCGAGGCGGCGCCAGAGTGGGGCCGATTCTGTTGGGCCTTGGCGGCCCTTGGCACGGTGGCTGGAGGACCATTGGTTTGACTTCGGATGCAGATGTTCAGATGTGGAAGATGAGGGGGATTTGATGAGTAGGCGGATAGTAGGCGGATAGTAAGGGAAAAGGAAATCCGCTTTCCGTTCTTGCAATTTCAGTCCATGTACCCACTTCAAATTTGGATAGACCTATGCTCCCTCCTTACCCGTCATGGAACCTGCAAGGCATGTTGGTTTCAGGCCAAGTGAAGCAGCTGACACCGTCTTCAATTCCCCGTGAGGTTTTATGGGGAATGCTGGACTGCCTCAATCTTCTTTGAAGGGGGATAGATAGCTGGCAAAGTGGTTGAGTAGTAAGAGAAGCTACTTGCAAGCTTTCAGTCCAGGAGGCCGAGCGCAGTGTTCCCTGTGATGGAGAAGTATTGTACAAGTGCAGGCCACAGACTGATTCACTGAAGTTGTAGGGGCCCGTTGTGTTGGATCTTTGCTTGAGGTGCGAAAGGTCAACTTCAAGGGATTGAACCAGGAAGCTCATTGTCATTTTACCAGCATTAGGATCTTCCCGTTCCCGCCTCACATCTCCTCAAATCTCAGAAGAAGTGTCCAAAGACTGCAACACAATGTGGTGTAAGGCATGAGGAATTTGCAGCTAAAAGAGAGTTGGACAAGGGGACTGCCGAAATACCAGTCAATGCGTTCTTGTGCTTTGACGGCAAACCCTAGTGTTAATTTACTATCATGGGAACAGTTGACAGTGGGAAGAATTGTAAATTGCCCAGAAGTGCTTGGGGCCACGTGGCATCAGATCACAACTGCTGACATCAACCAAAGCATGGGCTGGAGGATCGGTAGACTTTAGACCATTTAAAATAAAAATTCACATCCTCCTGTCTCAGAGGTATGAAGAGAGGCCGTGCAAAGGCTTCTCAACGCACCCATCCATGAGTAGCTTCACATGTCTGAAATCGAGTGAAGTGGGGATCACCACCTTACTTTCTATATATTCTATTTGAATCACCAAAAAAATTATTTGTGTGGGGAAGAACAGGGGTGTCAGGGTTGTCCTTCAACGCTTGGTGTTTGGCATCGCCAGGTCGAAATAGGTTGTGCTGATTCAGTCTCACGCCTGCGTGTCGAGCACTCGAATTGGTCACAGGGCCACTTGAGTCAGAGATCGTGTGACTCCAAACTGTGGACCCTGCGCCCCCCCCCAAAGGTTTGTAACGGAAAGGCCCAACCAAATAGGGTCTGCAGGGTCCATATCTTGGAGCCACGGCCGTCTCTCATCTATGTTGGTTGCTCAAGGCTGATCTGGGAAGACCTCAGGCCCGCACCGACTCTGAAAAGGGGAAGCAACTCAAGAACCTTGAGCAACTGCCTCCTGTCAAGGTGCAGGCACAAGTATTTGCAGCGTTTTTACTGCACACAGAAGCAGTCGTTTTGGATGTGTTTGAAGCTTCTTGTCTCAAAAATCTGTGTCCCGATTGGATTGGGGCCACCTTTGAGACAGATAGAATAGATAGAATCTGTGTGTTTATGTCGTTCGCGATAGCAGATCAATCTGGGACCACATGGTGACCCCCAATTTGAAGAAGGAAGGAATGACAGAGTGTGAGTGAGACAAAGGTTCCAGATTTGTCTTGTGAACGCGAGCCTTAGCTCCAAAGCACAAGAGCTACACGGGCCGGACATAGGCCACCCAGAAACAGCCTGGCAGAGAGCAAAATATGGGCTGGTTCAAGTTTCAATCTTCCGCCTGTCACTTCAAGAATCTTGAACCAATGGAGGGCGCTACCGTCCACGTCAACGATTGATTGAGCTGGGATTCCGACCAATTCCTAAAAGACATTAAAAGACTGCTTTTCGATACATGTCGATACCACCTTCTTTGTGATCCAGTTAGGAGTTTGCGTTCCATCGCCGCTTTGTAGCTGGCCTTGGGAACGACAAATTGTATCAAATTGTGCTTTTGCTTTGGCTGGAGGTCTCTCGTGCCGAACATCGGAAGATAGTGTTCTGATGGTTTCTACCAAAACCGAGCCGGAAGAGAAGTGTCTCCTTTAAAAAAAATAACACACACTGTTTTCGGGGCCATGTTCTTCCTTTGACGGTACATCCCACAAGCCATAATATTGTACGATATTGTATGGCTTGTATGCTACAGTTTTGATGGCAGGGATGTCACCAGAAAACACCGGACATCGAGGTTTGTGCCAAGAGCCGCTGAAGTCGGGCCTCTCTTCCAGCAGGCCCTGCATGTCTTTCTGGAGAGCAATTGAACTTATGGATCAACTAATACTGCTGTATTTGATTGTTTCTAAGCAGAATTCTGAAGTGATGGTTTTTGTTTCATTGTGTACAGTGTCTATAGTGCTTGTGGGGTGTTACCAACTCCATGGAATGGTGCACAAGTTACTATGCATAAGGCATGACATGCCTCTTTTGATGGGAGCCAATTGATTGTATTCACATCGTATTTTATGTAGTGCCCCCATGTTATGTTGCATTTCAGGATTGCACGGCCTGAGTGACGATAAGATGCAAAATGACGAGTTTGATTAACGCATTGCTCAGCATGACATGTGGCTTTGCTTTCGCTTCTATGATGCCGGTGTTTTGGGCGAGCCACCGGAGTGTTTTGCACATCCAAATCGGTATGAAGTATCAATGGCACAGAAAAAGAATGCTGATGTTGGAGGTCACTGTGAAGCACACCTCCAAACAGTGTCCCCCAGTGTTGCTATCACATCATACCATTTATGGACTTACCAGTGGGCGAGTGGGTTCAAGGAGGAGGGATATGTGTTTGCATAGGGCCATTGAAAGGGGGGCATAATTCACAGACTTGGGCATGTGGGGTTGAACCCCAAGTGCACTTAGCAAGTGGTTTTGACTTGACGAAAACCGCTTTGCAAAGGGGTCAAAACCAACCGAGTCGGGGCAGGTGCGCTTTGGCCCATTGACTGGCCGTCCTGGCCGCCGGGAGCACCACAAGTTTGGGGCAGCAGACCGGAAGGCTACGTCGCGATCTCAGAGTGTCTCTGGAGGAAACAGAAGACACACGAGTTTCAACAGGATAAAGTGTTCAATTCAGCGAAAGGGAGAGTTGGTGAAAAGGAAGGCAGGGAAACTCAATGCTGCATTGATGTTTCAAAATCTTGTTGAGCAAAGCAGAGAACACCCGTTCTTTTTGTGCTGCGCTTTTTTGGCAGCCTGCCCAGGTACTACTACAGATTTCACAAGCTAATCGGAAAGGCCAACTGGCGGAAGTACATTGAACGCACCTTGATTGCGTTTTAGGCCAAAGAGCAGTTCGTTTGTTTAAGCGCATTGCAAGCACGGATGAGTTGGCTGAGGTTGCAGTCACATGCTTTGTTCGGAGAGTGTATTGTGGGTAGTTACAACCACTTGCTGGGCAGGCTGGTTGAAAGCGGTCCTGATAGACTAGCACAGGTGTTGCAAGTCTCAACTCTTTGTCTTTGACCCAATTTGTTTTTGAAACCAAGAAATCCATTGTTCAGGCTATGTCGCTCCTCGATCCATCGAGAATCGGCAGAGGTGCCTTGCAGAATTGGAGATTGACGAGGGTGGTGGAACTCGGGAACCCTAATTATGAAATGATGCTTAAACAAGAGCGCTAGCAACCGCCAGTCTAAAACAATGGTTAGAGGATAACAATAGAAGATATGCAGAGAGCACAAAAGATGGGCAGATTTGCTTTGAATGGGCACGTCCCGAGTTGAATCTCTCCGTGGGATTGTATCGTTTGGATCAGTTCGGTAGATTCTTGGCCAGGTGGATTCCAACACCTTGGCCCACCTACCAACAGGGGAAGCACGCCCGGTCCTGGAACTGGCGCTTGCCAAAGGCAGGAAGATCATCTCTAGAAATGATGTTTGTGGGGGATTGATCAGTGGATTTGTGTTTTTCTAAGGGCAAACTTGTGCGCTCCTAGCTACTGGACGCAGGACAGCAGCGGCGGGTTCAGAGTTCAAGAAAGCTCCCCCCGCCTGAGCACCATTCATGTGGTTCCTAGATTTCTAGGGACACGGAATTGGATGTTGTTACCTGCTATATCTATATATATATAGAGAAGGATGTTTCCACCCCCAATGGTGTAAGAGATGTTGCATCGTGAAAAAGCTTTTGGTGTATATACCTTCCAGTATTCTTCCAGTACAGTAGGATTTGGTGTTGAAATTCCTGGCAGAGTCTTTGGCACGGATCATTCACCAAGAGACTACACACATACATAGGTAGCAGGAAGTAGCAGCAGACAAGCAGGAGCAACAGGCCAGCCTAACAGCAACAAAACAGCAGATAAGTAGCAGAACGGCAGAACAGAGTAGAAGCAACAGCAAAAGCAACAGCAGAAGCAGGCCAGAAACAGACAGCAGTAGCAAGCCAGCAGAGCTGCAGCAGAAGCAGCACTAGCCGCAGCAGAACCAGCCGCCGCCGCAGCAGCAGCCGCAGCAGCAGCAGCCGCAGCAGCTGCAGTAGCCGCAGCGGCAGCAGCGGCGGACCAGCAGCACCAACAGACAATTAGGAGCGACAGTCCAGAAAAGCAACAAACGAGAGCATGTTTCCGGAGCTTTCGGAGCAGGTTCGGGAGCAAGAGTTGCAGCATTTTTTGCAGATATGCTGACATGCTGTTAGTTATGTTGTCACTGTCAAGGCGTAATGCTTACCAGAAAGTGACCCGACCCCACTCCAAATTTTAAGGGTTAGCGGTAAGCCGGTAAACGTGAATTTCAATATTTGTTGGGGTGTGAAGGCCAAAGTTTCAAAAGAATGCATCCTAGGGTCCTAATTGACAAATCATGTGACACCAAAAAATGTCATTCGCTGTCAACCTCCAAAACGCCAGGGCTTGGCTGCCGCCACCACAGGGGATGATGTCCTGGAGGCGATTTGGACCGATGTCCAAAGTGTACAATTTGATGGTCCAAATTGAGGTAGGTACTCAAGGTGGTGCGGATTTTGTTTGCCTTTGCACATGTGTTTCACGGTCGGTCCAAAGTTTAAAGATCCAGAAGTCTCACGTTTTTTTCCAGCGCTGATGGTTTGGTCAGGTGTGGATCAAGTTCAGGCACAAACTTCCCAAAAAGTCAGGGACCCAGTTGTGTTTGAAACTAGCGTTGATGAGGCCAGCCGCCAGACACCGAAACAGCACAGGCAAAAACGATCAAATCCGCACGCAGCAAACGTAGAGCATGTTGCAGAAACAATCGCAAAGCCATTTCAGGAAGTGTTCATCTTTGTAGCAAGGACTAACAAGGTTATGTTGTACAAGTTTGGTGCGCTTAGTACAAGCGTCAAACTGACACCATATTAAATACAGTATATATATATATATTGTTTTTTCAAACATGTTCAAACCAAGAAGTACTGCTAGGCTCAAAATCCCTCGGTGAGAAGGGAAGACGTCGCAAGCCTGAATCAACAGTTGAAATGTCAGGACCTTCCACTACTTCAAGCTCTTGAAGAGGTGCGGGAGGGCCTCGGCATACAATCCAGTTGTATACTCCAAATCAGTACACCCGGATTGACCCGGATTATACTTTTTCGCTTCAATCTCCCCGTGCTGCCACCCACCTGGACCACCTGGCCGTCAGCACTCTCTGGTTCAGAACGCCTTGCCTGACACTTGAATGGCGCGCCTGGGACGCCTCGCCCTTGGCCTTGGCCTTGGCCTTGCCTCGGCGGAAGTGAACCGCAGCGGACACGGTCACCTTCGGCGTTTGGGCACAGTCGCGGCAGAAGTCGGCGCCAACGCTGATGCTAGCCTCCGCTGCGGGCCGTTGGACATGCCGGAGAATGCACAGTGCAAGGAGGTGCAGTTCGGACTCGATTCTTACATCATCCTTTGCCTGTGAGAAGATATTATGAGGATGGTGATGAGATAGCTGTTTCGCATGGCTCACCCAAAAAATTGGAGGAATCCATAGGCAACCCGGCAACTCAGACATAACAACCCGTATTTGCTGGGTGTTTGGTTTTGAGTCAATGGAAGAACAGTTTTATAAAATAGAAACGGTTCAGGATCAAAGGAAGCAGGGCAGGAGGTTGCACTGTCAAAAGATATCGCCCCATTTGGGGTCGGATGGAGTTGGTGTAACTGCATCGTCAAGCGTTTCTTTCTGAACAGAGCATCTGGACAATGGTGACACAGTGTCCCGAAAGAAAGCCAATGTCAACAACCCGAGATCCGTCGGATCCATGGCAGGTGGTGGAGTGGGCTGCTGGCGGTGGAAAGTGGGATACCAAGGCGGACAACTGGTATCGCAACATGCCCAGCATAGCTGGCGTGAAGCACGAGCCCTGGTTGTGCAAAGACTTTGCAGCAGAAAATTCACCGACTGCAAACTCTGAGTTTATGCAAAATCATGTTGTTTTTTGATCGGGGAAGGGCTTGATGGGGAACCTACGCTTTTTGAGGGGTCAACACATGGCAGGACCAGGCTACCTTGGCGGATTTCCAGCGCCTGTACTATTGCGCACCTCCAGGAGGGCCGTGTTGGTCAAAAAAGCAGGACTTGGTCAGTGTTGGCTTAGAAAACACTGACTCACCGGCCAATCCTTAAGAGGATCATGTTCAAGAGCAGAAGCGATTGGAAGTGATTGAAAGCCCCAACATCGCCACACAAAGACCAAGAAAATCCCAAACATACAAATTGACAGGACCCTGTGGTGTCCCTATGTTTCCATCAGTCCCAGACAAACTTCAGATTCGTAACATGTGTGAGTATGTGTGATCCAGGTTCCATCAGTGGAAGCAGAGTAGAACGAGGAAACGTTTCTGTTTAGACACAGTACTTGGTTTTTCCCGCCAGCAATCATGGATGGGTATTGATGCATGTCTTGGTTGAATGACTTTGAAATGTCTCATAATGTTGTTTCTAGTAGCTTCTTGTTACTACTAGCAAGGCACTTGTTACTAGTAGCGATGCAATTGTTTCTAATGGCGTCTTGTTACTACTAGTAAGGCACTTGTTACTAGTAGCGATGCACTTGTTTCTTGTTACTAGTAGCGATGCACTTGTTTCTAACAGCTTCTTGTTACTACTAGTAAGGCACTTGTTACTAGTAGCGATGCACTTGTGTCTAACAGCTTCTTGTTACTACTAGTAAGGCACTTGTTACTAGTAGCGATGCACTTGTTTCTAGTAGCTTCTTGTTACTACTAGTAAGGCACTTGTTACTAGTAGCGATGCACTTGTTTCTAATAGCTTCTTGTTACTACTAGTAAGGCACTTGTTACTAGTAGCGATGCACTTGTTTCTAATAGCTTCTTGTTACTACTAGTAAGGCACTTGTTACTAGTAGCGATGCACTTGTTTCTAGTAGCTTCTTGTTACTACTAGTAAGGCACTTGTTACTAGTAGCGATGCACTTGTTTCTAATAGCTTCTTGTTACTACTAGTAAGGCACTTGTTACTAGTAGCGATGCACTTGTTTCTAGTAGCTTCTAATAGACTTGGAGGAAAGGACAAGTTCTGTGGGTTGCCACCCTGCACGGGCTGCAGCGAGCCGCCGTGCACTGACTGCTTCGCGGGGCACCAGCTCTACGCTTCGGTGCGCCCCGGCTGCGACGGGAGCAACAGGGGCATCGGCTGCGTGCCACCCAAGACGGCCATGGCATACAAGGGACAGCACTGGCCCACCACCACGGTCTATGGCACCCAGGACCAGAACCCTCTACCCACGGTTGCTGGCAAGCACAGCCTTAGTTCCTCCAAATATGTTTTTGTATCAGTTGGAGGCCATCGCTAGTAGGTTGGAGGACATCGCCCATCGCTATTAAGTTCGATTGCAGGAGATGCACATCTTCGCGATTGGAGACTGGGGAGGCATGGACGGCTCCTTGGACACGGCCGAGGGGAGGCCCAACATCGTGGCCTACAACTGGGGCAAGCGACCGGGGCCCAGCGTGTTCCCTTGGAGCCGTTGGAACAAGGCCGGTAAACCTGGGCATGGGCGATAAAGATCGATAGATAGGATTCATGCTTGTGGAAACTGACAATCATCTAGATCTCATCATGCTTCTTTATCAATGTCCTTTGTGAAATCGATCTTCAAAAACTACCTGAAGGCTCACACGGTGCAATTCTGCGATCACAAGCAGTTGGTGGAGTGCTTCAATACTCGCGGCCAACCACCCTGCATCCCAGAGTGCGGCTATGTGCCTGGGGTAGACGACAATCCGCAGATCCTGGTGGCAAACGCCTTTAAAGCCCGGGCAGCGCTAAACGATCCCCAGTACATCCTCAATGTGGGCGACAACTTCTACTGGGGAGGCGCGTACCAAAGTCATCCAGCAAACTGCAGTAGTTGGTCTTTCAGTTGTCAAGCCTATTCAAAACAGTTCAAAACTTTCTTGAACCAAAGCCAGGTTTTGAGAAACTGAAGCCAGGTTTTTGTAGGTCCATTCATGCCAAGTAGTTGGGCTACAGACTTGGGATACAAAGCCAGGCATTGAGAAGACCTGTGGAGAGCCGATGAACAAGATCCTCGGAACAGCTGGCTGTTCGATTCGCATCCACTCGCGGTCGCGTAAAGGGGCAGGTGCTTTGCTGGTGGTTTGGGTCATCGAAGCATCCTTGCTTGTGCAGGCACAAAGGTTGTTCAACTGTCCGTAAGGCCAGGAGCCCCTAGTAGCGTTCTTGCTCCTAGTAGGGATGCCCTTTGCTCCTAGTAGCGTTCTTGCTCCTAGTAGTAAGGCCAGGAGCCCCTAGTAGCGTCCAGTGTTTAAGCATGTTCAAGCAGTGATCCGATTAGTCTCAAGATGCAGGCATTTGAGCCTTCCAACCGATGCCAGTTGGGCCGGGATTCCCCGTGTGTGTGTGTGTGTGTGTCCACCCCTGGACAAAGGGTTCTCAACCGACTTCGGCAGGGGAGTGGAGCAGGCCTGCAGAGCTCCACTTAACAAAGCTCTCTGCAGTGTCCTGAGGATATCGGCCAGGACGCTGGCCGACGTACCTGCAACCAACGGTTGAGCAAGCTGTTCCAATCACCTTTTTGTTTCCATGGTAGTTCATGATACTCCCCACAAACCCACTCTTCCCCAGCAGCTGCACCGCCGGTTTGATCGTTTTGCCGCCGCTTTGAACGTGTGAGTGCCTGTGGGAACAATGTTCAACAATACTTTTCAGCGGACTTTGCCACCTTGCCGTTCCCTCACCTTCCTTCTCAGCGTGGGAACTGAGTGTAACTGAATACAAGTGTCAGAGTGTGTTTCGCTCAGCCGTCCCACTCGGGTGCTGAGTGTGATCCCCATCACTGGGGCGCTGTTTTTTGCATCGGAATTCAACCACCCCAACGTACCACTTTTCACTGGACCTTCACCGGAAGTCACGGCCACCCCCATAGAATCAACTGATGCATTGGCCGCCGGGCCCAAAAACGGCATCACTTCGACAGCCGCCGGGCTATAAAACGGTGCTTACCCCCAATGAGGCAGGTTCCCCAAACCCCCCCCCCCCCCCCCCCCCCCCCCCC